CTCTCAACTCCGCCATCAACCTACCAACTGATTTCCCCACCTTCGTCCCCTTTAGTGTGTTCTGTAGGTTATTGTCATATTAATGTTGCTCAGGTTCAGCAATGATCACTTCCCTCCTCAGAAACCGTCATGGAGCCCACAGATCCCTAATTGTACTTCATGCCTCCAAAGTTATGCACATACTCTTATCATTTGCATAGAAACCCTCCTCCTCTTCTCCACCTCTTTAAATCCTCCCATCCTGGAAGCCTTCGTGTCACTGCCCAACTCCTCCTGGAATCAGACGTTTTTCTGATCCCACAAGCTGATAGAATTTCTCATTCCTTTGAACTTTTCTAGTACATCCTTTGCATTCTGCCTATGAAAGTGAACACATTCAGCATCAAATTAGAATTTCAAGTATTATTTTATCCTTCCACTCTGTAGTAAACCCTGTGAGACAGAGACACTGTCTACCTTTTTATCATCTGAAGTTTAAGGCAAATATATTGAATACAAGAGGCAGGTTAGTAGGATAAGAAAAGCAACAGGTTTTGGGGTGAGACACCCCTGACTTTTTTTTTTTTTTTAAATTACATACAGTGTGATTTTTTTTTTTTTTTTTTTTTTTTTTTAGAAAGAAATCAGAAGTAGGCAGAGAGGCAGGCAGAGAGAGAGGAGGAAGCAGTCTCCCCGCTGAGCAGAGAGTCTGATGCGGGGCTTGATCCCAGGACCCTGGGATCATGACCCGAGCCGAAGGCAGAGGCTTTAACCCACTGAGCCACCCAGGTGCCCCGAGACACCCCTGACTTTTAATGCTGACCCTCCCTCTTTCTGCCTCTCTGCAGTCCATGGCAAGCCAGTTAACCTCATTTGGGGACTGATTAGTTTTTCTCATTTAGGAGAGGTACTTTCCTAAAGAGGTTGTTTTGAGGATGAAGTTAGATATAAGAAATAAAATGCTCCTTGGTGCTCAGGAAAACCTGCTGAAAGCCCATCTTTTTCAGATATCTCCCTCAGGCTCTTCCTGTTCTCCAAATGAGAGAGCCTGAGAATACCCAGGCCACTGTGGGGACATTTGACAGTGACCCCTCCCCACAGGCATGGGGCTTTCTCTGTAACTGTCACAGAATCACTGACTCTGATTCCATTCCAATTGGCTGACCTTCATACGATGCGTACACACGGACAGTACTGGGAGTGCTTCCTGACAAGACCATTTGGAAGAATGCGGAGTTTGGGTCAGTGGTTTATAAGGATTTTTTAACCCAGGTTGTGAGACCCCTTCTCATTTGAGAAATCTAACGATGTCATAAAATCGGAGACGCACATAAGTAGTTTGTGAAGCCCTGAACTTACTCAGTACAACTTCAACAAACACTTGGAGAAGAAAGCATCACAATGCCACCGGCCCACCCGATAAGCATTTTGCTAGATTACAAGCCCAGGGTGCTAAGAACTTCACAGGAAGTAAATATAGGGGCAAGTGAAGGAACATTTCTGTGGGTTGGTTTTTTTTTTTTTTCATCTTTATTTTTTTTATTTTTTATTTTTTTATAAACATATAATGTATTTTTATCCCCAGGGGTACAGGTCTGTGGATCACCAGGTTTACACACTTCACAGCACTCACCATAGCACATACCCTCCTCAATGTCCATAACCCCACCCCCCTCCCCCAACCCCCCACCCCCAGCAACCCTCAGTTTGTTTTGTGAGATTAAGAGTCACTTATGGTTTGTCTCCCTCCTGATCCCATCTTGTTTCATTTATTCTTCTCCTACCCCCCAACCCCCCAATGTTGCATCTCCACTTCCTCATATCAGGGAGATCATATGATAGTTGTCTTTCTCCGATTGACTTATTTCACTAAGCATGATACCCTCTGGTTCCATTCACGTCGTCGCAAATGGCAAGATTTCATTTCTTTTGATGGCTGCATAGTATTCCATTGCATATATATACCACATCTTCTTTATCCATTCATCTGTTGATGGACATCTAGGTTATTTCCATAGTTTGGCTATTGTGGACATTGCTGCTATAAACACTCAGGTGCACGTGCCCCTTCGGATCACTACGTTTTTTAATCTCTCTGAGAGTTGTGCACACTGCACTTACTCTGTATTTTCCTTTCTTCACTGGTTCTGGCCCCTTCGACATTTTAGTAAGATAATTAAGGCAGAAGACATTTTTCCGTGGTACAACGTGGTCAGGAGAATGGGAGGTGTGAGTGCAGTTGGGCACAGGGCCCTAGACTTCTCCTCTCAGTCCAACCAGGTCGTGCACTCACACCTGCCTTTATCTTTTCTTCCGAGGGGGTGAGGAAGGCCTGTGCTCTTCTGCCAGTGCTCGGGAATGAAGCCACTGAGCCATTCTGCTGAGGCCCGAACCTCATCCTAGAACTTAGAAAGAAAATCTAAATCCAGACCCTCGACTCCTATCAGCCTTATCCTTCTTCCTCAGTTAACGAGAGGTGTGACTCTGTACACTCCATGAAGGCACAAACATCAGTCTGTAACATTAATACGTGCCTGCTCTATGCTGGCTGCTGAGAGGGATGAGGGCTGATGTGTGGGAGTAATCTCCTTCCCACCCAACCCCAGCCTATTGCATCCATAAAATACTATGAAATAAAAGGGGAAACTATGCAAATAAACTTCGTAGAAAAAGTAAATTAGGGAAGGACTAGCAAAATCATTCACTGGAACTCTGTTTACACTTTTCGTCAAGCTCAACCATTTGTTTTTGACCTAAAGGCCCTTCCTCCATTACAGCCTGTCATTAAGAGATAGGTTTAAATTTCAGAAAGTGTATGTGAATTTCAGAGCTTTCCATTTCTTAGCAGTGACTGTTTTTATACAATGACAGCTATGATTAAGGTTTAGCTGTTGCTAGTAACCAAACAACTAAGTGTTTATTCTTAGGTATTACGTATCCCTTCCTACCTTTCCTCAATTCCAGACTCTTATTATGGTGCCACAATTCACCCACTTGCCCAAGCAGTAATCCTGGGAATCATCCCATTTGCTCCCTTTTCTGTTATTACTACACTCAAGAAGTCAACACATTTCCCTGAGTTTATCTCCTAAGTCACTTACACTAGGCTCTCCCTTTTCAACCCTTGAGTTCAGACCCATCCCCCACTTACCTTTTTTAAATGACTCCACTGGCCTCTACGGTTTTACTGATTATATTCTTCACAGCCACTCCTTTGTCCCCCACGCCTATCTTCATGAGAGGATGATGTTTCTAGGTTATGAAGGCAAGTTTGGTGATACATTCTTATGTTTTGCTGCTTCTCCTTTGACTACCGATCAGTTCCATGTGACCAGTGCTTACTGCCCGCCTCCTGGCATCAGGGGTTACAGTAGATGCTGGCAGTATAACCCCAATGGTCTGCAGTTAGTACAGTGTGACAAGCACTTCAGTAGCTCATAAACTTGGGAATCTGCTGGACTTAAAGTCAGGTTCCTTAAAGAAATTCATGTTCCTAAAGACCCTTCATAACCTGACCTGAGCCCTCCCATCTTTTCTCCATGTACTGTGTGTTTCATCACACCGAGTTATCAGAAATCCAGTTTTCATTTTATATTCTCTCTCCTTTATAAATGCTGTCTCTCCTACGTAGTATGCCTCTGTTCCTCTCCATTGGGTGATTCCAACTTGTCCTTTTAACATCTTCCCAGGCATCATGTTTTCTGAGGTCGTCTGACTCCCAGAACCTCTCACTCCCCAGCTGGGTTAGATACCCACTTCTATGTGGCCATATCAATTTAAGAATAACTCTAGCAAAGGACTTACCACACTGTATTGAAAATAACCTGCCAACCTTCCCTCCAGAGCTGTCCAGGGCAGGGACCGTGTCTTCCATCGAAGCGTCTTCTGCACCCAGCACAGTTCTTGGCAATAGCAGTGATCATTTGTTGAAAGAATGAAAATCCCTGGTTTGTGAGATTCCTAATTATCCTTTCTTCTTATGGATATTAGCCTCTATTTAATTTATTTATATATCCACTTACATGGGCTTAACTCAGAAACCAGTGCCTTAATACAATAATATATGAATCTATTGCTCCTGCTTTTGCATAACCTTTCAAAGGACGAGGATATTTCCACTCACACAGCTGCACCACTAACTTTACACAGAGTTGTTTTATCAGATTGGTAGGTGTTATTTATTCATTCAAAAATATCTGTGAAGCTGCTACGGTCAATAAGGTCTCTGGAGGGTCCAGGCCTTAAAAAAATAATACAGGGAATGACATCTCATACAATAGTCAGCTCTGAAAATCACATACAATCAATTATCTTTAACAGTCTCCTAAGCCAGACATTGGAAAATTCCTGTGTATAAGTATGTTCTTGGTGAGCCTTACAGTGTCTGTGTGGCCCCAAGTCTCTGCCTTGACAGTGTGGAAGCAGAGACCATCTGTAAATAAGTGGGCATGGCCGTGTTACAGTAAAACTTTACTTAGAAGAAGTGTGGCTCAGGAATCCTGGTTTGAGGACCCTGCCTCCCAAATAAAGTGGAGGTGTGTGTAGGCACCGAGGAGGTTCAGAGTAAGGAGAGATCACACATTTCTCATCTCAGAAGATTGGGAATGGGTAGCCCAGAAAGATGAATTTGCAGTTCAGAATGAATTCCAAAATACCAATGAGCGAAAGCAGTCAGGATCAGGCAAAGTTAGGAAAGCCCAGAGAATGTTCTGGCTGGTCGTTCAAGAAAAGTTTCAGAGCAAAACTCGGAGGTCTTTTCGTTAAAAGCCTCAGGGAATGTTGCAACCTTGGTGACAGTTTGCCATTACAAAAAGAGAAAAGACGAAAGGTACGTTATAAAACAGAATCTTTCTGACATAGAAAGTTTTTGTTCTCAACATTCTTTGGAGGTCAGAGTTCATTACTGATTATTTTGGATAAGCTTACTGTATAAATTCAGAAATAAAATGTGTTATAGGCAACACTAATGTATGCTGTCATTGATCTTTTATTCACAGAAAATAATTTTTTTTTTTTTCTAGCACCAATAGCTGCAGGAACTGGCCCAAATTTTTCTCTCTCAGATTTGGAAAGTTCTTCCTACTACAGCATGAGTCCAGGAGCAATGAGGAGGTCTTTACCCAGCACATCCTCTACCAGGTAATTTGATGGGTGGCTCTTGTAGTTCCACACCTTCATTTTGACTCTGAGCCTGGAGGCTCTTGCAATGTGAGTGTACTGGTAGCAGATACTAGAGAAGTGTGTTCAACCCCAACAGACTTCAGTCTTATTGGGAAGAGAAAGCAAATGCACATGCTGCAGAAATATACGTGTGTGTGTGTGTGTGTGTGTGTGTGTGTGTCAGACAGTAGAAAACAATGAGCTAAATTGTATGACATAGGCCAGAAGTAGTTAAGGAAGGCTTTATCCAAAAAGATTGACTTGCATTCAGCTGTAAAGGTTGGTTTCAAGTTGGCAAGGTGGGAAGGAAAAGGAATAGTGTCTGGGTGGGGTGAAGACAGGAGCAAAGCCTAGAGAAAGGATGCATGATAAATACAGCATGTTCTCAGCAGATTAAGGACAAGTTTGACTGGGGAGGAGGCATGTGTTTTGGCTTGTTTGGCAAAACATCGACACTGGCAACACCGGTTCCGGTCCCGGTGCCTACAGCAGACATTACAGCGCAGTCCCAGGGCGTTTGCCCCCGCAGATCTCAAAATCCAGGCTATTGGAGCTGTACTGCGACACAAAACCCACTTGATATCTAGGTGTGTGGTCACAAAAGTGAATGCAGCCCTGCGGCAGGGCGGGGCTGGCTCATAAAGTCTGTTGCCCCAGGAGACCTTTAAAAAAAGTAAAGCTGGAAAAGCACAACCAAATAAGGATTCCGGGGTTCTGGATCCCCTTGAGGTCACAAAGCCCAAATCAAAATGAAGCATTTTGCAAGATCCTGTTGCCTCTAGATAACCGGTACCAGAAGGAAAGGGATTAGGCATTAAACCCACAGTATTCTTTTACAAATTGGCTTTAGCACTGGACTGTGACAACAAAGAAAAGAATGGTGCAGAACGATCTTTAATGTTTGTGTACTTTGCAGAAAAACGTTTCACAAAGGTATATTCTCCTTTCAAGCAAGCCCTGGAGTTCTATGATTTAAAACAATGACCAGATTATAGAAATTTTCCTTGGTGGCGACTCCGTCTTACCTTGACTTTATATATTTTAACCAGCATTACAAAAAGAAAGAAAGAAGGAAAGAAAGAGAGAATCCACTTCGTCATGACGAATACCTTGAAAACAGTTAAATACCAGTTATTCCCTAAATATTACCGCCAGATCGTACACTCACCTTTCATGTTGTTTAAGGGTTCCCCTTAGCTCCTTATAGTATCGGATCCTCAGGAAAAAAAAGTCTGAAATCCAAAGTACATTTATGATGAAAGAATGAGATTGTGGACACATTCAGGTGTTAATAATTTTGAGGATTTTTAATGTTTGCTGATGGAGGGGACATTGTGCGTAACTGCACTCAGTCAACATGAGAAAGCTTTGCAAATACTTATGGGCAGTGATTAATTTAAAAGTTGATGGGCTGTTTGTTTTTCGTATGTGTGCTGCGCATGTACCATGGACTTCCCAAACAGTCCATGTCTCCCCTCCTCTCCCGACCCCCGCATCCCCGTCCTTTTGACTTCTCCAGCTGTTTTGTTGCCTTGTGTTGTGATTCTGTGAGTGGAAACCTGGTTTTTAATGTCATTTAAAAGGCTACTGTCATTCTCATATTCTGCAAATAACTAATCCTGATAAGGAGCTAATTATAAACAGCAGCAGTAGTTAATAACTTGGTAATATGTTTGTTTTACTCTCATTAGGCTCTCCTAGGATGGGTTTTTTTTTTAAATTATTCTCTAAATATATAGACTCAGCAGAATTATCTGTGTACAGGTTAGAAAATGTGCCCAAAAAAATACTGCAGATTTACATATAGAAAAGTTCATCAACCAATCAATATTTGTTCATGCCAGGCCAATATTAATCGGTCACATGGTCTGTAGCAGACACTGTATTAGCTGCTTTACATCCCGGATATGATTTAATCTGCACAATACTTTTACCATGTAGACGGTGTTGCCAGTTAACAGCGGATCAACCCAGGGGCCAGAGAAGTTGAGTGACTTGCCCAAGGTCACAGAGCTAGTAAATGGCACAGTCTACATTCAAATTCAGGTGTGCTGGAACTTTAAAAACATAATATTTTCGCATTTGATCCTCTTAGGAATGGGGCTTACTCTTTCAGTAAGGAATGATAGAACATGAAGCCCCCTAAAAGGAATATCTATTATCCCTAATTTTCCTTGGTTCTTAGGGTGTGCTACCTTGAATTACTGTTACCATCTTTGAGATTTGTACATGTCCTGCCTCCCCATCTGGACAGTAATTCCCATAGAGGACAGTGTGTAAATGCTCCAATTTGTCAACAGACACTTCTTTTTTTTTTTCCATTGTATTTTATTTTATGTTATTTCTTTTCAGTGTTCCAAAATTCATTGTTTATGCACGACACCAGTGCTCCATGCAATACGCGCCCTCCATAATACCCACCACCAGGCTCACCCAACCCCCCACCCCCCTCCCCTCCCGCAACAGACATTTCTTAACAGGGACATTGTCCTAGGCACTGTGAGTATAAAATCAGGTAAGATGAGCCTTACGTCTAATGGTAGAGACTGACATGTAAATGGAAGTTTTCAGTTCAGGGTCCTCTGAACACTCAGGAAAGAGTCATTTTGCAGATTTGTGGGTGCAAGGTAAGGCTTCCTTGCCTTACATATCATCAGAATTAAACAAGTATTTAGAATGGAGTGATAGTTTACCTTAATTTCTAGTTACCATTGCTAGGAATACAACCAATTCCATATGCAGGAAGAGATGGTGTGTCTCTCCTCAAAAGAGTACTTAGCTTTCTCTTAGGTAGAGATCTTACTAGTACTTTCTTATTTTCCTCCAGTGTTTCGGGGAGAATGGAATCAATGTGTTAGAAAGTCAAGAGCAAGAAACCACAATCAATGACCGATTCATTTCTAAGTTAAAAGAAAAAAAATAAAGGAGATGGATAGTCACTAACTTCAGTGCTGTTCCCCTTGGTGGTAAACATCTCTAAAATCACAGAGGGGGTTGTGTAAAAATTGGGATAAAGTATACTTTTTTTATCCCAAAGAACTTCAGCAAGATAAATCACCTGTCAGGTTTGTGAGGTCAGTAAACTTTGTCTTGGAAGCCTTCACACGACCATCCTGGCGCCTGTAACTTGCTCCATTCCTGGATCTTTTTCTCTCCTCCATGCTGTACCTCCACTCTCCAGACATTTATCCTGTATCAACTCAGAAAAGTCCTTGCTTTCAAATAAAGGTGGGAACTAATATCTGCAGACTCTCACCTTTAGGATTAGCAAGTTCATGGAATATTTGTGTTTTATTAGAGGACACCAAGGAAATCAAAAACTTGTGAAACTCAAAAAAAATTAATAACAGAAGAATTATAGGCCACGGAGTTGGCCTTTTGTGTTGGATCTCAGTGAATCGTGACACTTAGGCTAATGCCTGTCACAAGTACTCATATGGCTGTTTCTAAGTCAAGCCCAGTTTAGCAGTTTTTGAGTATCTGCTATTAGCCAAACATTGTGGTAGGCACTACAGATTTAAAAAGAAGAAGAAGGTGATTTCCCTATAGAGCTCACAGTCCCATCAGAACATAGAGGTCTTGCCTTTTATTTGCCAGGAAACATAAGGGAAATATTTATATTCATTTTAACATGTATTCTACCAACTTCCAAAATGGTTTCAAGTCGCTTTCAAGTTTTAAATACATTAGGTACTATATTAAATATAGATAGAGAAGCCAGAAACCATATGGGAAAAATGGGAGAGATTGTTATATCAGGAGCCTGACCCAAGAGTTGTACCTTACATTTAATCCTGAGATTCCTGGTTGCCAAGGCAAGAAGGGGAAGCACGAGGTTATAGAAGCTGCGTTTTCTGATAAAAGGAAAGAATAGAACTTCATGCAAAGAGATCTTATTTTTTTCTGATTTTATGTATTGGAAGGAATTTTTTGTAAACATCCTTCTGTTAAAAAATTTCTAGGGGGCGCCTGGGTGGCTCAGTGGGTTAAAGCCTCTGCCTTCAGCTCAGGTCATGATCTCAGGGTCCTGGGATCGAGCCCCTCATCAGGCTCTCTGCTCAGCAGGGAGCCTGCTTCCCCCTCTCTCTGTCTGCCTCTCTGCCTACTTGTGATCTCTGTCTGTCAAATAAATAAATAAAATCTTTAAAAAAAATTTCTATTCGAAGTAGTTTCATAAATTATAGAAAAGTTCTCCAAGTGGCTATTTTTCATTGAACTTCAAGGAAAGCCAAGCAAAGAACATAAAATACGCTATTAAAGGTTTTCCTTTGGGTACTAAGCTAGCATGCTACAGATATGTTGCTTTCCTGTGGTCTGGCTTTAATGAGACCAGAACTTAAAGGCAAAGCACACTGGAATACCAACTTTAATCATTAGAATTTCTTGCCTTACATTGGGCCCTCCACATTTTCTTATTCGAATTGCAGCCATCGCCTCTTCACTGTCTCACTGCTCCTAGGATCCATCTCCTCCTTTTTGCTTTGCTTTTCCAAAGCCACCATCTGTACGCCTACAAGAGTGGACTTCCTGAAATCAGCTCTGATGTCACTCCCTGTTGACACTTTCTCAGGGAGTCTCCATGGCCGACAGGATAAAATCCGGATTTGTATCATCTTCTATCACCTCCACCCCCTTCTTTCACTCTGACACAGCTGGCAATTCTCTGCATGTGTCGCACCTTCCTCATGATGTTGCTTCTGCCTGATACGCACCTCCCTCCTGGGAGCCATGTTCAGAGTATCCGATAACCTGTGTGACAGGAGCGTACCGATTAGAACGGGTGCTACTCTGCCACCAGACTCAGGCTGAGTCCTGGAACGCCCCAGATGCACACGACGTTAGCCCTTTAGTTTGTGCCTCATGAGGGCATCCTGGGGCACAGCTGGTGTGGCAAGAGCGGGGAAACTTGAGATGGTGACACTTTGCCAATTGATAAAGAAGTATTTTAGAATCTTGAAATAAAAATGGCTGCCTGAGTGGTGCATCAACGAAAAGCCAGTCTCTCCGTGCCCTCTTCTTCCTTACGCCTGTCTCCTCGACACTCACAGACAGCTCAGGAACTCTGTCGGTCAGGAAGCTTTTCCCAACCTCCCAGGCATATCATTGTTTTCTTCTTTCATCACGAAATCTACTGTGTCCTGTATGTGCTTTCATCATAATACCTACATTTCTCTTTTGCACAATTTTATTTGCCTCTGCATCTCTATCTGCTGGACCGTGAACTCCATGGAGACAGGGACCATGTCGGATGCATCTCGATATTCCAGCATTTAGCACAGCACCTACACATAGAAGGGACACAGCACGTGTTTGATAAATGAAAACATATTAAAAAGTCTGTACCCTGACACACGAGGAAGAGATTTCCCAGTGGGCACTCCCACTAGGTATGAAATCTATTCATTCTGGTAGCATGTTAGTGACATAATCAATTAAGACAATTAGAACATATTAGCAACATGGCATTTCACTGTCTTTTCACTCCTGAAGCCTCAACTTGGGAGGAAAACTCAGTCCTTCAACTAGAGGAAACGCTGGAATTTCCCAACCATACCTCTCCAAAAATAAAAATAAAAAAAAAATACCCAGAACTTCATTTTGGTGACCTCTGTGTAGACATCAAAAGAGGAAGGGCATAAAAAGGATTGGGCTATTCTTCCTCAGAGGGAAATGTACTCCTTCCCCCTATTTTTATCTCTTTGGATCATTATATTTGTCTCTAGCATCTCCATCAGAATCTGGACTAGGGCAGCTATGCAGCAAATATTTTTTGAATGAACAGATCCAAGTGGAAGGTGAGAAAACTTAGGAAAAAAGAGAGAGAAGCAATCCAAGCTCTTCTGGAGGGCTGTGAACCCAGATCTCTATTCTCCCTGGGGTGCCAGAGGGATTCAGTGATGTGTTGGGACATTGCTGCTGGCTAGGTCCCCACCGCTGCCCGAGGAGACACGAAATGCAGTCTTCCTGCAGACATTTCCAGGTGGAGATGGGAGCAGGAGCCAGGCCCCCAGTTCCTCAAAGGAGAAAGGAACAGGATGTGGCAGCAGCATCTTGAGGGACAATAAAAATCAAAATCCCAGACACTTGGAACAACACAGATCCAAGACTTTGTTCCACATCCAGTGACTCACTCAACAAGAGCCTAAAAAGAGTCCTAGAGCTACACCCGAGTTGCCCAATTGCTTCCTCCTTTGGCTTTCTTTCCACCAGAGATGCGCTATCCAAGAGAGGTGGTTTGGACGGCTTTTAAAACATGTCCCCATTTGTTATTTCAGCTCCACAAAGCGCCTCAAGTCTGTGGAGGATGAAATGGACAGTCCTGGTGAAGAGCCATTTTACACAGGCCAAGGGCGCTCCCCGGGCAGCGGCAGTCAGTCCAGCGGATGGCACGAAGTGGAGCCAGGTGAGCCGGGCGGGCACGCGGGCGTGTGGCCAGCGTGCCCACGTCTAAAACACGCGTGGGGGCCATGTGTGCCTCGACGGAAGGAAGCCGGTTCACGGCGGCCGAGCCTTCCACACGAACACCTGTTCCTCTCTGACGGCTGCTTCCACCAAAGGGGGCCCGGGAGCACATAGAGCTGAACTGAGAGGCTGTCAGAATGGGCCGTGGCGCTTGACTCTTATATATCCTCACCTACGCTACAGTCCCAGATGTATGTGCCTTTGCTTTCGAATTTCCCCTAAGTGCCTTTGGGGATTGGCTTTTGGGATTATCTTTTCATAATCTTGGAGAAAAATCTGTCAACTCTTTCAGCTGGATGGCTAATCTTAGAAAGGAGAGGAGGGTCTCCATGCTACAGTATAGGCTTGGACTTTTAGAAAATGAGGAGATGCTTAAATGTGTTTTCAGGTTACTGGGTATCGCCGTGAGCGCTTTTCTGTTGAAACGGAACAACCATCTTTCTGTCCGTCTCTAGTGAACTAAGCAAATGTTAACGGCTAGCCTGACCTCCTGGGATAGTCTAGTCTTGGCTCTGAGTCTTGAGAGGAATGTGAGCAATTCAGCTAGCAGAAGCTTTTTGAAACCTTTCTCCGTGTCTAACCTCTGCATGGACAAGGGAGCATCTTCTTGTGCGCCTTCTTCAATCTGTGAAGTCACATGGGTAGAGAGGATGGGGTGTGGGCTTTGGAATAGAGATTCAGAGTGTAATCCTGGCTCTTGCTGCTGCTGGCTGTGGGGTTATAAGCAAACGACCCAACTTCTCTGAGCCTAAGTGTCTCCGTGTTCATAATCTGTCGATACTAATAACTGTTTCAGTGCTCTTGAGAATGAGGTAAGGTAACACACACAACCCATCTAAGAGTTATACCTACCTAGCTCCGAGGAACTTCGAAACAAAATGCTTTCTGATCCTTCTGCCCCCCCCTAGGCCTCAGAGGGATTCCTTGCAAGAACAGACAAGCACCAAAGAGATTTTGGAACTAACCCTTTTGTCTTCAGATCTTAATACCTCTCTCTCCTCCCTGACATATCAAAACACAATCCTCACAAGGAATGGCATAAGAGAGATTTTTGGGGCGATGGAACTGTTGTGTATCCTGATTGTGGCGGTGGGTACAAGAATCTATACATGTGTTAACATTCACAGAAGTGGATACCTTCCATCCCCCAGCAGTTTTATTGCATGATAATTAAAAACAAAAGAACCTCAGGCCCCACAGGCCGGGTCCTTTATCTTGCTCCTTCTACTAAAATGCACAAGTTTCATTTTGTCTTGCTTCTACTTAATACTCTCACTTACTCATTCAGCCATCCTCACTGGGAACTTTCTGCCTGGTCCTGGGAACCGAAAGGTGAATGGGAAGGCTCTGGCTTTGGCTTTCAAGGAATTCACAGTTGGGGGTGGGACACAGATGTATCAGGAGATCATTACATGGTGATAGTTGCAGAAGTACAGAGATGAGGACCTTGGCCTCCATCTTCTCATTATTTCTAATGATTACCAACATAGCAGTCAAGGTGTGGTGGATCTTCTAGAAAGGTCATACACATCTGCTTCGCAACACTGTTAGCTCACGCCGGTTCACTGAGAGTGCTTAAGAAATAAAGCCAGGCCTAAATGCAGATGAAAATGCTGACTCCCCATTGCCGCCAACGGCATCATCAGCAAGATCTCAGGATAGTGCCAATGAAAAGTTTATGTGCTATTAAAAAATTAAACTTCTTTGAAACCTTTTTAAAAGGCTAATTAGAGCTCTAGCCAGTTTACCTGCTTCAGTGAAACTCGGAATTGAGATATATAGGTTTGGTACATGGTGCTTGAGTGTTGTATTAATGAGGTTTTATACACAGTGAAGCTGCTTTACTGTGTTGATGTACATGAAGCCCCACCCCCACCCCCCAGACTCTTCTCCGGGTCCTTAAGTAGGTATTTTGGCGGAGGTGAGGGGCATATTGGGGGCAGAGGGAGGCAGGTTGGATATAGGGTACTTCGACCTAGTGACTCTTTTTTTCAGAGTAATTCTTTTCCAGTTTGCACCTTATGAGTCAAATGATCATAAATTTTAACATCTGAATGCCTAGATCCTTTGCAGTCATTAAATAATGAAAGTTTAACTGCCGAATTCTTTTTGGGTAATGATACTATATATGCGGCATAATAGAGAAATCCCCCACAATTATACTGTATTCTCGGATTGACTGTCCATCCGCTCTCTCTGTTGCATCACAGAAAAATGCAGTTTCATGGTGTACGTGTTTGGGCTTGGGGGAGGACAGTGGATACATTTACACTTGGCCATATTCAGCATAGAAAGTCATAATTGAAACAGGGCCTGAGGGGACATTAAAACTCAACCGAAGGATGTTGTACATGTGCCTGGTGACTTTGGTGTCATTAACTCACACCAGCCATTTTAAATGGATAATTTATGCTGCCAGATGGTCTTTTTTGGGGATTTTCCATCTAGCCCAATCCCCTTTTTGGCACAGAGAACACCCTTATGTTGTTCCCACACTGATCCGGGCCTGCATAGCTTTTCCCTGGGGGTACAGTTCATTGAGTAGGAGGCTTTTAGTGGTTCCCTCATGTAAATTACCTTCAGAACATGTTGGGAGTTACTTATACTGAATGCACCAGCAGCCTCTTGGTTGCCGACAGAGGGGATAATTCTCTCAAACAAATACGAAAGGATACTTTGTCTATGCCTCCAATGTGACACAGGAAGCACAGCCTGTCCTGACTCCTCACTCAGAGAGCTTTGCATCTGTTTACCTGCCCTCAAATGCTTTTTCAGGACTCCCGGCCAAAAGAGGGCCGAAGGTGGCCAGAGGAGACAAATTTCCTTGAGCAACAGGAAGGCTTTGGAAAGTAAAACAAACCAGACATGCAGTAAATTACATGGGCTCTTTCAAATGTCTTTTGTAGTATCCTGTTCCCCATTAGTTTATCTCAGCAGTCTCAGTGCAGAGCTCTTATTATCTGGGAAGAAGGGCATAGGAGATGAAAGATGATGTTAGTTTAAGAACATCAGACAACCTCAAGCTGACTTTTGCTTCTCTTACAATGCTGCATTTGTTCCCTCCACTTAGTTTCATTTCCCAGTTATCTCAAAACTGGGTTAGATTCGAAGCTTTGAAGCTAATCACGCACTGATGAAATGAGTCCTGTGAAATTCTATCAAGCAAAAATTCACATACCATCAACTCTTGTTTATCTGTACAAATGAATAATTACAGAGAAACTCATAATGCAAGTAAATAGGAAGCCAAGAAGCGCCTACGTGGGCTCAGACGCTACACATGGTGCTTCCATACACATGGTAAAAACTGCAGTTACGATTGTTGGAGTACCTTCTGTATACCAGAATTTTGTGTTTTGTTTTGTTTTTTTTAATTACCCTGAATTGTGCAAGACGGAATGGAATGATCTTGCCTCAGCAGAGAAGAAAACAGAATTGTAAAAGGTTAGGTGACTTGTCTCAGGCCACACAGATAGTAAACCTGTGGATCCAGGGTCCAAACTTGAACCTGAGTCTGAGTTCAGAGGTTAAGTTTTGTCTTCCATGCTCAGTAACCTCTTTACCATAATGCTTATGCTTATAATTGAAGATCTCATGTCCTGGGCTTGTATTGAAATTAAAAACATAATAATAAAAACGAAAAAATAACTCAACAGAAAGACCTGAAAAATCCCCCAACTTTTCTTTACCCCAAAGCCTTGTTGTATAACCAAAAGTCAAAGAAGGAGTGTGGGTTATTAAACACACATAGGACACAATATATGAGCAAATAGTGTTAACTTTTAACTGAGTAAAATGTTAATTTTTTTCCCCATAAAATCAAATCATCTTCAGCATTTCGATCTTTGTTCAAATAAGATGTCAATCAGAGAGGCTCCCAGTGATCTAAAGACTTGGTGTTTTTCTTCCATCATTCAATAATTCGTAACCTTGCTTTTCTTTCTTCATACCCCTGTCTACTGCTGTCATCTCTGTTCTTTCTAGAGAACGTACACTCCATGGGCAGTGGGACTTAGTCTGTCTTTTTCACTGCTTATCCCCAGCATCCTTATCAGCATCTGGTTCATAATATGTACTCAAGAAATATCGATTGAGTGGAGCCTACAAAGCAGGGAATTGGGGGTGTTTTCAATAAACCTAAACAAAATTTGCCAGCAGTAATCTTCCCAGGATTGATGTTTGCTATATTTTCAATCCGTAGACTCTTACTTAGTCAAATCTAATTATTAACAAGTAGTAAGCCAACGACAGCTCAGGCTCGACCATGGGCCCCATTGACAAGTAATGGTGTACCAAACTTTATTACAAGTATTGTTCGCCTTAAAGGGTATGCCTTTAAATGAATCAACCCTTTTTTTTAAGATAATACTTATTTTTTTAAATTTTTTAAATTAATTTATTTATTTTTAAAAGATTTTATTTTTTTATTTTGTTTTATTTATTCCCCCCAACTTTAAATAGGAATGCCTTTAATGTTTTTCTAGATAGATAAAACCTTAACCTATTTTTTTAAATTTTTTTATTCTTTTTTTATAAACATATATTATTAGCCCCAGGGGTACAGGTCTGTGAATCGCCAGGTTTACACATTTCACAGCACTCACCATAGCACATACCCTCCCCAATGTCCATAACCCCACCACCCTTTCCCTACCCCCCTCCCCCCGGCCACCCTCAGTTTGTTTTGTGACATTAAGAGTCTCTTATGGTTTGTCTCCCTCCCGATCCCATCTTGTTTCATTTATTTTCCTGCCCCCCAAGCCCCCCACGTTGCATCTCCACTTCCTCATATCAGGGAGATCATATGATAGTTGTCTATCTCTGACTGACTTATTTTGCTAAGCATAATACCCTCTAGTTCTATCCACGTCATTGCAAATGGCAAGATTTCATTACTTTTGATGGCTGCATAGTATTCCATTGTATATATATACCACATCT